AAGGGGATCATATAGGATGATGGCTACCTTCTTGCCTTAAAAAGGGGTAGCACCTGTGACTCTGAAGGAAGAGCCAAAAGAGAAAACTGGAGGAGAGGGAAATGCGGGACAATTAAAAAAGCTGACGGAAAAGGAGATGCAGGAGAAGAGAGCAAAGGCAGTACATGCTAGGGCATAAGTGCAAGGACCGAACTCTTCAGGTTCTCCTTGTCTGTGAAGATGAGGAAGACGAGGAGGGAGGTGGGAGCAGGTCTGAAGAGGAGGAGGAGAAGTTGTATCTGGATGTGGCAGAAGTCTCTCTGAACTCTGTAGTGTGATTCACTCCGAGTCACTATGAAAGTGAAAGGAGAGATAGCTGACCGTGAGGTGGCGGTGTTGATAGATAGTGGGGAAACCCATAATTTCATTTCTCCCCAGATCATTGAGCTGCTTGGGACGGAGTTATCGATTCAATCCTTCGAATCCGACAATCGATGGCAAGTGTTTCATCCCTCGCATGACAATCAAGCTCTGCGACAAAGATTTTGTGGATACATGAGGCTATGAGGTGATGATGGGCACGGCACGAGAAAGGTTGAAATGGGAAGAGGAGTTTGTAGAGGGGTAGTGCTGAAGATTCAGGGGATCCAAGTGAGGGAGGACTTCCTTCCCTTGGAATTAGGGAGTACTGCTGTCATCCTAGGGATGAAGTGGCTGCAAACATTGGGGGAGACCAAGATTAATTGGGGTACATTGAGGATGGAAATGGTGATGGGGGGAGGAGGACGATTCAGGGTGATGCTGAGCTGACCAAGGCTGGGGTTTCTCTTAAATCCCTAATCAGGACAATTTAGGAGGGAGGAGGCTATTTGGTGGAGTTGCATCGCCTGGAAGAGGTCAGACTAGAGGAAGAAGGCAACATTCCGTCTTCAGTGCAGCCGCTCATATACCAGTTCAACAAGATTTTTCAACCTCCACTGGGTTTACCACCTCAGAGGAAGTTGGAGCACACCATTACCTTGAAAGAAGGGGAGACACCGATCAGCGTCCACCCCTACCGTTACCCATAGATTCAGAAAGATGAGATTGAGAAGTTGATCTAGGAAATACTGGAGGCGGGGATCATCCGAGCAAGTGTTAGCCCTTTTTCTAGTCAAGTCCTCCTAGTCAAAAAGAAGGATGGGAGTTGGAGATTTTGTGTGGATTACAGGCCTCTGAATAAGGGCACTGTACCAAACAAGTTTCCAATTCTGGTGATTGATGAGCTATTGGACGAGCTATACGGGGCAGTGGTGTTTTTCAAGTTGGACTTAAAATCTGGATACCACTAGATCAGAATGAGGGAGCAGATGTCCCAAAGACAGCCTTCATGACACATGAAGGACATTATGAGTTTCTGGTAATGCCCTTTGGATTGACTAACACGCTCATGCTACTTTTCAATCTTTGATGAACATGGTATTTAAGCAGCACCTCAGGAAGTTTGTCCTGGTCTTTTTTTATGACATTCTGGTGTACAGCAAGACTCTGGAGGAGCATCTAGAACATTTGAGGGTGGTCTTAGAAGTACTGTATGAGCATCAGCTAAGAGCCAACCTGAAGAAATGCAGCTTTGCTCAGTCCAGCGTGGAGTACTTAGGACATGTGTTATCCCAACATGGAGTGGCGGCAGACCAAACCAAAATTGATGCAATGCAGAAATGGCCACTGCCTAGGAACATAAGGGAGTTGAGAGGTTTCCTAGGATGGATTAGTTATTACAGGAAGTTCGTGAAGGGGCACGGCACCATTGCGTGGCCTTTGACTGAGCAGTTGAAGAAAGACAACTTTTCCTGGGGAGATGAAGCGACCCAAGCCTTCGAGAGGTTAAAGAAAGCCATGACCATTGTTCTTGTTCTAGCTCTTCCAGACTTTAACCAGGCCTTTGTAGTAGAGACGGATGCATCAGGATATGAGTTGGGGGCAGTGTTGATGCAAATCACAAGCCTATAACATACTTCAGTCAAGTGCTATCAACTAGTGCAAGATTGAAGTTAGTGTACGAGAGGGAGCTGATGGCCATTGTCTTGGCCATTCAGAAGTGGCACCCCTATCTTTTGGGCCGACACTTCATCATACGAACTAATTAGAGGAGCTTAAAGTACCTCTTGGTGCAAAGGATGGTGACTGAGGAGCATCAGTGATGACTATCCAGACTTTTGGGCTATGATTTCGAGATTTAGTACATATCAGGTTTGGAAAATAAAATCGCCGACGCTCTATCTAGATGTGTGGGGGAGCTCCAGGAATTAGCTGTGTATGTACCCTTGATGGTCGACTAGGGGGCCATCAAGGAAGAAAGCATGCTGGATGAAGAATTGAGAATGATCAGGGAAGATTTGATGAAGAATGGGAATAACCATCCTGGTTACCATATTGAGGGGGAGAGATTATTGTACCAAGGGAGGTTTGTGATGCCACGAACTTCTATACATATCCCCCATTTGTTACAGGAGTTCTATGGCAGCGCGGTGGGGGGTCATTCAGGGGTATAGAAGACAAATAGAAGGCTGACATCTGAGCTTTACTGGAAAGGGATGTATAATGATGTAGAAGAGATGGTGGTCATGTGTGAAGTGTTCTAAAGGAACAAATACATGGCTATGGCTCCCGAAGGACTACTACAAGCATTGGCACTTCCAAACAGAGTATGGGAGGATGTGTCCATGGACTTCATCGACATCTTACCACGATCAG